ACACACCCACACACAAAAAAATCCATCCAAATGATATCCCCAGATCCAAAACTGAGATTTATTGTAGTACCATCATGCTGTTGCTGCTGCTGGTTTATAGATATGCTTGCTATGACTTTAGAGGGGATTGTATCACGTATTACATGCGAGGAAAAAATACGGATTTTCTCAGAAGGGAATAAGTATCAGGTTTCTTTCAATATGGTATTATATAACCACACACCAACAACTTTGAGTTTCTTCAAGTGGTAGTCATACCATTAAAAAAAAAAAGATATGTGATCTCTTGAAATAAAAGAGTTCAATGTAAACATACTCGGAAGACTTTTCTAGGCCAAACAGACCATCTATTGAAAGGAAATTGCAGAAACGTCTCTTTCCGAACTTCCACAACTTTCTGAAGTCAGATGAATGCATTGACACATGACTGCACACATTTGCACATCAATGATGCCTAATCGGTGGTCGGCAGCTTGGACCAGCCAGTCGTGGTGAAATAATATGGAGGAAGTAGGATATATTATTCTGAAACACATAATTACACAAAGAACTGAATGTTACAACCACACACACACAAAAACAGGTTTTGGTGTGACTTTTTCTACCATTATCAGTAGACCTCAAGAGAGAACAATTCAATAATCTATTATGTTACACCATTAAAATGTTCAAATACACTAAAAACAAGCCTATGTATTTTGTCACATTTTTTTTCAGTTAAAGGTGCCTTGTGTAATATCCGCCAAAAAAATCAATTCATACTCCACATTCCATATCAGTATACCTCCAGAAAGTGAGTTGGTCTACTCTAGAGTAACAAACGAGAAACGGCATAGTCTCTATGATATCTTCAAAACGACCATAGCCGAAGCTGAGCCAACTCATAATAGTAACATGTGCATACAACCGCCATCTTTGGTGTAACGGGTTTTCCCTATTATAATTGTATTAAGGATTGCATGTCTCTATATAAATAGTCTCTGTTGTAGCTCTTTTTTAATATTTTATCTCAATTCTTACACATAGCACCTTTAAAATATCTAAAAATGCTGACGATAAATTTCCTTGAGATGCAACACTGCATAAGATATTAAGACTTGTTTTCAAAGACTGAATCATAAATCTAAATATATTTAGGCCTGGTTTCACAGGGTTTAGATTAAGCCAGGATTAATTGGCCTTAGTTAAATTAGGACAATCTTTTATAAACGTGCCTTAGAAAAATTACTCTACATTCTTTAAATATGCCAGTGCACGTTGCTTTCAGTTAAAAACTTTTCTGTGGAAGTAGGCATTAGTGTTACTGAACTTGCAGATTTTGTTTCTTGTTTTGTATTTTAACCAAGTAGAAAAAAAGTGCAAAACACTCAAATAAAACACTTAAAAACACTTAAAATAAAATAAAAAAAAACACCATACGAACTCATTAAGAAGTCATTGTTTGCAGTTTAAAGTCCACTTCTAAAAGTTGCTAGACCGATATCCTGAGCCCCGGAAAGGTTTAGCCATGAGAATGGGACCAACCATGGTGGTCATGCTAAATCATCTTAAGAGTATCACTTCCACTGGTCTAGAATAGTTCAAAGGCAAGTGTGAATCTACAGACCCTGTCAGAGATCAGAGATAGAGGCCCCCAACACGCCTCAGGTGACTCCACCGAGCAGCTGCCAGAAGGCATCCATTAAATAAATGTTCATCCATCAAAGAACCTAATCTCAAGTTCAGCCAACACTTCTATTGTACCAGGACTTCCATACCACTGCTTCAGCATAAAAGAAATTATTAAGGTGTGCTATGGGACTTCCATGCAATTGAGAACACATAAAGAGGGACTTCGAGGTATGCTACCTTACAATACAAAGCTAATTGTTCAGCAGCTCTTATGATGAATGCTATGCATACCACCATGTCTTTCGCTTTGGGAGCTAAAATGACGGAAGTGAATAGAAAACCAAAAAATTCGAGAACTGCAGAAAAACAAAAAGATTGTTCCTTGCTTATCCAGCTTTACCATTTACTGCTTGTTTACAAATTGCAGCGTTTTCTGACTCGTTGGACAAGGTGTAATTTTTTTTTTACTGAAAAAAAAAAAAAAGGTTTGAAATTTCAGTGCTACTTTAACACTACGGAAAGAAAAATATATATATTGTTGGTTTAATAGCAAAGCATCAAATGACAACTCAAAATGCAGCCTGAGTTTTTTCGAAGCAATAAATGGAAATGGCCATTGGCGATGTCTATGATCCACGGCTGCCCTAATGTCCAAGCAGGTTTCATATATTAAATAGAGCCCCCAGGTCATCAATTCCTTTTGTTTCCCATGAGGCATTACTCTGCAATCTTTGTCATGTCCCTCAGCGAGTCAAAAAACACGCTGCTCCCACCCCATGGGCAAGACGATCGTCAACATATTATATTCACTACAAACACACTCTGTTGACTAAATAAATATGGTAGAAAAGACCTTTGTTCCATGGGTATGGAGATTTTGCAAGCGATATCAAGGTATGGCTGCACATTCTGTTTTCGTTGTGTGCTAGGACACGGGAGGATAGGAATCTTGAAGATATGAAAGACGTTTATCTCTTGCTATCTTCAGCATGCTCTATCACTGTCTGAAATGTGTAGAAAACCCACTGAATAAGATAAATGGAACAAAAAATGTAGATCTGAGCCTGTCTAATATTATACGGGGAAAGTAGGGAAATTACTAGGCTGGGCACTATATTTCCACTCACCTTGAATTCCAGCAGTGGACTTTGTCAGAAAATTGAGTAGGCTATAATGGTGGTGAACATGCCTGGCCACATTTTGCAACAAAAGATTCAGATTTGCTGTGATTATTGGCAATTAAAGGTGACAATAATGGTACACTCCCTAAAATGATATGCAAGCTACCTTATGTGCACTTTAAGCATGGGTTAGCCAACAAAAAGACTGCCAATGTTTAGCCATGCAACTGGATATATTTTTTTCATGTATTATGAGAGTAGCAGCTATTTTCAAAAATAGTCTTTCTGTATTTACTGTTGGTACAATTCAGCCAAACTGAGTTCATTCATTTAAAAACTACAATAACATAAACATAGCCTACAAATACACATCAAAACAGAAAAACACAATCAAGGATCACAACAGCAATAAATAATCTGTTAAAAGTAACTTAAACTGGTTTGGTGATGGAAGCATTGTCAGCTTTAAGATGTTTTGTAAAATATTCCAAGCAGAATCTGAAAAGGTTTGTGCAGCCTTGAATAATTCAATGTATGTAGTTACTTTGCTAACGGTTTCTATTCCTCTTATCGATTACTTTGTGAGCATTTCAAAATGACTTGAACAATTCAAGCCTGAGACAACACCGTTTTCAGTGCAGGCATGTGTAACTATTTTGGGCAACTCTTAAAGTGACAGCAGCTTCTGTCTCTATAATAACACTATTCAAACAACAAAAGACAAAAAGAAAATCAATTTGTTCTTGACTGAATAACTTTTGTAACTATATTTGTAAGTGCAGTGTTATTTTACATTTGCTTACAATCTTTCTACCTGAAAATCTTAAAACACTGTTTATTTTAATCATATCTTTGTTCAGTTGTATATATTTGATGCGATTGTTCACGCTTGTCCCGAGAAAAATGGCGTTCGTCAGGTCCAGTTTTGTGTCCAGCCTCTCACGATCTTCACTTTAGAATTAATTATACATTATGCATTACTCACATTAAAGGCCCCGATACACTTTAAGCGAAATCGAGGAACATTGGGAGTTCGAAATAGCTTGCCAAACTTCCGGAAAAGTTCGCTACGGTGTGTAAACACCTTTGTACTACCATTTTTCCGTGGCGATGACGTAATAGGTAGGTGTGCGTGGAGGCGCCGCCTTCTTTCACGTGAAAATCTTTTCTATAGTTTATTTATCCTGTTTAGTCCGTCAAGGTCAGATGTTCGCAAGTGAAAACATAAACAAGACATCGTTTCTCATGCTTAATACGGTAAAGCTGCTTGATTTTAAGATAAAGAGCTAAATAAATAAACGTGACGTGACTTTGATAGAGTGCCGAATTGCAAACAAATCCACGTTGCTATGATCAGATGCATTTATTAAAAAAATGCTTGCTGATTTCTCAATTTTGTTGTGTGTTTATTTTGTTATTGAAAAGAAACACACAGCACATATTCATACATTCATCTAAACGCCGCTCTCAGCACAGTGTGGATGGCGTCGGATGTTTGCTAACAGTATACCACTGCTCATGTATTTCGAACTTCCTTTTACCCCTAAGTGAAGAACGAAAAAGAACTTTGCCATGAGTATATTGGGGCCTTAATTATGAACCTGTGTGTAGTAGGTCTTCGGCATATCGGAAAAAATAGTAGTTACTGATAAGCTGCCAGTCAACTGAGTGCTATCACTTACTAATCTTCAATCAAAGTTTCTTGTTAGTTAACATTAGTTACAAGAATGTTAATATTATGATACTCATTTGTTCCTGTGTAGTTATTCGTTAATGGTGGAATAGTATTCTAAGTGTTACTGCTACTTTGTGTTAGTAGCTTGTAGTGTAGCAAAGTACTTTTTAAAATAGTACCTTGACTGAGGTTTAAAGGTGAAGCATGTAAGTTAGCATCACCAATTAGAATTGTGAAATGTCGTCAAACAGGTTTCCTGAAAACTCCCCATCATTGGTCAGAAACACAAAAAGCCTTGCCCCAAACTCATACTATAGGTTGAGGCAATGTTGCTAAGCTGGGCTGATTGGATAACTAAACAAACAAAAGTAATGCACACTTAAACTGTCTCTGTAAAGGTGTGATAGAAGAAATATTTTAACATTGATACCTTCAACAACTGTATTTTAACTTTTAGTTTGGCCAACTAGAATTTAAAAAGTAGCTTCCCTAACTGACAAATGTACTGAAAGAGATACCAAGAGAAAACTAAAATATTGCTGTAATATCCCTGGAGTGAGAATGCATATACTGCAGGAGACATCAGTGCTCACCTTGAATAGAGACGATGGGGTGCTCTAGGCGGGTACACTCCGGCCTTGTGTGGGGTGCTGGGGTGGGGAAGGGCTCAGTGGGGAGAGGGGGCCTCTGGGATAGTATAGCAGGAAATGGAAGAGTGATGAAACAGAGGATAAGGCCGGGCACAGCCAGGGAAGCCATGTACCGTGGCAACACTGTCATGTTGATGGAGGCCGACCTCTCCTCTAGCTGCCAAGGTGGGCCTCTGGAATGCACCTGTTCAGAGAGGAGACAAAGAATCCTTGTAAATATACTCATTCTCTTAGTTTAGTTCCTGCACTTTCTTTAAATTTTTAATTTTATGCACTTACTATCAAGGGAGTCAAATAGTTTGGCAATATTTCACTTCTGTATGATTGTGTCAATAAAGTTTTGTTGAATTTGAGAAAAAGACAAGGGGAGAGAGAGGGGGAAAGATAATGTGTAGGAACAGAAAGTGGTAAAGGAGTCATAATCATTATAATTAAACCTCATTTTCATATATATATATATATATATATATATATATATATATATATGTTTTTTTGTTTGTTTGTTTATTTGTTTTTTCCGAAGTAAATGCACTCACTATTTAGACTTATGAGTGGTAGGGTTGCAACACACTTTTTAAAGTAAAATTTAAGTAACCCTTTTAAGACCTGAAGAAATCAAAATTAATTGGGGGTGTGCAATATTGACAAATATGTATCTCAATATATTCAAACTTTTGTTGATGAAAATTAGATTATATTTTTCTGATAATGGTTTTGTGCTGGAACTATGGCTGGTTTAGGCCTGTTGTTGACAGCTGACTCACAAATATATTCATATTTTCATATTCTATGCAGTGATCAGTTCACAGCAGTGACAGAAATTTAAAAAAAAAATGTAATTATTTATTATTTAAATAATATTTGCCACCTTAAATAGATTTCCAGGGGCATTTTTACCTATATATGGAAATTTTTAGATGTATGCATCACCTTTTACGTCAAATTCTAACATTCAAAATAAATTCCACAAGAATAATAACACAATACCACTGTTAGTCAAATTAAATCATTAAATCAAAATCCATTTTTTTCAATGCAGGTGACACAGAAGTGGCATCAGAAGTGGCATTAATATATTCACACTGCATTTACAATTGCATAAATAAAGCTATGAAATAGTTTGTTTTTTATTCCATATTTTAATATGAAATGATTTGGCAGCAAGTCACTGTCTTATTAAGTTGCGGGACTCATTCAGTCAACCAATACGTTCAAACAGCTGATTCATTCGGGAAAGAAGCAAGTGATGGTCATTTGAATTAAATTGATTCGTTAAACACGCGGATTTCAGTCAAAAAATCATCGCTATCTGTTGTATTGAGACTCTACGGTTTCATTTTGAAATTCTCGTTGGTGAAATAAAGATAAAACAAACAATGTTTATAAAATGTACCTCACAATTTTTATTTATTGTTCATGTGATATTGTATCAATACAACATAATAAGATTTAATATGAGACAATACACATAGGAATACAAACAATACATATAGCACACCCCTACGCACATAAAGAATGAACTTACAATTGAACTGACATTAGCCATTTTCTTCTTTTCTCCCGTTACACATTCAGGAGACAGACGTTTGCTGCCACAAATTGTCACGTGAACAAGTAAATCCACAAAGAGAGAATAATAAATGTAGGCCTAATTAGATCCTTTTAATTTGGAAAGGTTTAGATATGTCTAAGTCAAATTGTCATCTAAAATTTAAGACCTTTCATAAGTAAAAAATTTAATTTTATAAATCTCATTTAAGGATCTACAAGAAAACTAAATGTAGACCAGGGTTAGATTTTATCAAAAACTCAAAACTGTTCCCAGCACAATGAGGTCATATATAGAAATTAAACTTCAAAAATCGATTCCATGTTGCACTATATACGTTCTACGTTTTACTTATCACAAGCAGTAACTAATAAGCCAGAAGTTCAGAACTTGTGCTGTTCCTGGCTGTGTACAATAGCACCTGGAAAAACAACTACATTGCACCCCACAACAAACTCTCACAAAGTCATCAAACACTTGAAAAGTATAGCAAAGTAGACCTTTCAGCCTCCCAACAATTGCAGTTACAAAATATGGAGGTTAAAACACAGTTAAATTTACCTGTGATGGCTAGTAGAGTGGAACTGGGGTAGGAAGCAGAAGTGGTGGGTGTAGTTGTTAAAAGTTTCTGGCTGTAAGTGGAAGCCCAGCTCGATCAGCATAAAACCCCTTAAGTGCCGAGGCATTGCAGTCTCCTTCATATACGGAGGAGTTTTTATATCTCGGCTGATCTTATTAGAGGTGAGGCATGACAGACATCTCCATCTCTATTCAGAGCAGCCCCAGTGCAGTCATATTACAACACAAAGCAGTTATCTCAATCGCTGCGCTCTCCGCGAGCAGCTCCCGTCAATCTCCTTGCACACGTTATATGCTAACTGCTCAAATCATAATGTGTCACACTTCAGCGAGCAAACCTATTGACCTAGGAAACAAAGCTTTAATTGAACTCCCACATGGGAATCTAGCATCCTTAAGGAACCCATTAGCAAAAAATACGCCCAATTTTCCTGATATGATCGCAAATTCAGAAGAGACGAAAAGTGAATTTAAACTATACCTATTTATTTCACTTTCACATCTAACAATCTCACTGTCAACTCTTTTTGTTAGTGGTCGTATAGTGGATCATCTGCATACTGTAACATGTTTTACATAAAATAAAATAAAGAATTGGGATTTAAATGTATATTTTATATAAAATTTACCATTTGTATGTTGATACTTTCCCATACAACTATGTAATTTGCTGCTTCACTACCATAGTATGATGCATCGTTGGAGAAATCAACTAGCTAGTCACGACTGTTTCCCGAAACCCATTGTCGCAAAGTATCGTTCAACCACGTTGGTTTCGCACGTGGTGGATTAACAACTACTTATAATGAAACTGTTTGAGATCCAATTAAAGGTACAATATGCAAGTTTTTTTTTCACCACCAGGGGTCGCCAACCTCTTAGAATATACAAAGGCGTATATTAATGACGTATATTCTGCATTAAGCGGAATTATGGATCTTGTCGTCAAGCTGATGGATCTTTTATGGATGAGTGAATACATTGATATTTTTAACATGACTGTGGTGAAGTAGCGCGCGATTGCTAGACGTATACCAGCGCCACACGTAACGCGAGTCCCGCGAATATAAAGGAATAAGGACATTTCATTGAACTACACCGAAATACACGCAAGTGAAGTTGAATTACTCACACAGGTCAGTTTATTAGAGGAATTAAACTTGAGGTGACGCAGCGCTGCTTCACTTGCTCTACGGGATTTGAGTGTGTTGAATGTTGTTAGTTAGGTTTTGTGTTGGCTATATGAGACTAAGCAGATTAATAACATACAGATCATATTCTTACTTTTCATCATGTTGAACTAAATAACAAAGTCAAAGTTTGCTTGCCATGGTCCATAATGTTTAAACAAAACAACAACAGCGTAAGCGTCCTGCTAGGCATAATGGGCATAACCAACCCAGTTGTCAACGTCTGTCGCAATGGTTACTTTTGCAGTACGAGGTCAAACCTGGCGGAAACCGGCGTTAACGCGGGTATGATGTCATTGACTGGTGACTCCCGTTTCCTTGGTTAAAATCGCAATTTTCTCACGATTTACAAATAGTTGAAAACATTTGGGATATTGTAAGTAATCAACTAAACAAAATATATAACATTGTCCCAGTGGTTTTTGGATATTTTGCTGCAACAATCTGGCATATTGTTCCTTTAACGCAAGGTACTATTTTTTTATATATAAATTACAGACATGGAAGCAGGACTATTTCTGATTGTTCTTATTATAGTTATTTTGCCAGACTCAATATTTGGCTCGTTCTTACATACTGTAGTAGAGCACGTTCACACATGCGCACTCTTCAAAATCGGTACTTTAAATCTTTTGAAAAACTGAAAAAGGCGTAAATTACATTTGTATGTATTTTAAATAAAAGGCACCGGTTGTACTGAATGTCAGCTTGCTTATTTTGCTCAAGATAAGGATTTATTACTTCCAAATGTGACGCAATATAGAAACTATACCTCTAACCACAGGTCGAGAGCTGTCGTTCAAACCACACAACTTTGCAAACGTTCGTTGGAACGATTGTTTCGGGAAACACCGACTTGTTGAACTAAGCTGATCACGACGGAACTTGCGACCATAGTTGGCTAACGATGCTTTCGAGAAAGGCACCCCAGCAAAACATAGACCCCTACTAAAACTTGATGGCTAAACTAGTTAAAAGGCCATTCAGAGACATCAGCACACCAGAATTGTTTTATACTGTGGACAAATGCTGTTAAAAGTAGTGCAGCTCCAACATTAATGCTGTTTCAGTGAAGACATGATATATGGAGTTTATAGCCACAAAGAAGCCAGCAGCATATCACCAACGTTCATGCAGGGCCAAAGTTAATCTTGTGGCACATAATACCATTTGAGTGTTTTAAAAACAAGAGCAAATCCATGCAATCCACCAAGATGCACCAGGGGCTAATTTACAGATTCACCATTTGATGATGAGGCAATCAATACCAAATTATTAGCTTGGTTATGTTGCAAATTACCATGATGCCTTCTCAATTATACCTCTCCCAACAGTGGGAAACAAATTAGCCAATTGAACATAGCTTGCTATACAGTCAACCCTCTGCATGAGTCAGGGCTTTTCACAACACTAACCAAGATGTAAAACGATCACAACAGAGAGTGAAGAACATTTTTGTTGACTTGTCAAGCTGAATTAGGAAATGAAAATGTCAGCAGAGCATGTACAAGTGCAAAGGCAATGATCAAGAATGTGAATGCTACAGAAAAGCACACATCCTCTTTGCATACTGTATGCACTTGGGTCAAGACTGCTCATTAGAGGTTATGTAATAATGGCTGAGTGGGTGTATTGGCTCATGTGTAAAAAGTGTTGTAGCCTTTTTAGTATGCAGGAGAAATGAAAAACAGGCTAGAAACATTGATGGGGAAAATTAATACTTGACCTTAAGCTAATATTTCTAATGTGTATGCACAGAAAAATGGGTAATATCATAAACAATCATCCTTTATGAATTTCCCATGATGTTTTGAAATAAAATAATTAGATTTGCTATGAAATCCACTCTGAAAATAATCCACATAT